ACCGGAAAACGATTTACCGGTACTTGAAAACTATGTCCTCGTGAATTAATCGTTCGTGTACAATAATTTGACAGGGTATACAATTCACAAACTAGTTTCGTAGATTAGAGACAATTGTTTGCTTTTTTTGGTTTTTCACAAGAATATAAAGCTGGCAATCATAATATTCACGTCCGTACGTCACGAAATGTACACCAATCGTACCCCAATAAACTGGAAAACTTACCTTTGCAAACACGTCTCTTATGCCGCCTTCTTGAAGTTCTTGAAATCAAATAAAGTTACTAGTTCTTCTAGTAACGAGTGAATGAGACCACTGAGCCAAACAGAATACATGTATAAACAGTACTATAATAAATTGCACGCAATGGAGAAATCACGTGCCGTAATAACAGCAGCCTTACTCACAAATCTAATCTACTGTAAAATATTTTATTTCAGCTGGAATTATCATTCGCTGAAAAGACTTTTTCTGGGTGTTTTGTATTGAATTTATTTTCATTGATTTTTGACAAGTTGACTGTAAAATATAAGAAAAGGGTATATTCGCTGGATTTTATTTTAACTGAAACATTCCTTCAGCGAAAATAGCAAAAAAATGTTGCAAGCAAAAATAAAGTATTTTACAGTAATTAATTTATTCTGAGCATGCGCAGACGTTTTGTCAATGTTGCCGGGAGAGGCAATTTTTGATAAAATCGTGAAAAAGACCCACTTGGGATTTTCAGATCTGGAAAAAAAATTACGTGCATACTCGGAGGGGACATGTTCATCAACCTGCCAAGTTTCACTGATATCTGCTGTAGAATTTCTGAGAAAATGTTGGAGACGGAATTATGGACATAACCTGAATTGGTAGTCCTCTTTTCAGGCTGCGCCTGAACGAGGACTAAAAATCTCTAATAATTCAGTCTGTATTAATTCCTTATTCATATTTAAAACTAATTATTAAAACTAATTTCACAATGTATTAAATAAAATTTTAAAACTCTTTAATTTCATCTCTTTAATATCATTATGAAATCCGTTAAACGATTTCAGTACTGAGTTGTACAGCGAATTCAATGCCACAGATTATACTGCAATTTCAAAAATAAATATAGCTGCATAGCAGCGATGACAAGTTTCGAGCCTGCGTGGCCTCATGGCAAATTGCACTTGCTCGATGTGATTATTTGACGAACGTTTCATGTCTAGAATGCAAGATGGCAGACAAACTACACAATATATGGATTTGATTTCACAGGAATATAATAAACGTAATGAAAGAATTCCACATACCGAATTTTGTATCAGGCAAATAGTTCATGAGGTTTTTTGCGTTTTTCGTTGTTGAGAAATTCAAGATGGCCGCCAAAACCACTTGAATCATGGTAAATATTTTCATGAATACATAATTACCTTATTGAATAGATGTTGTATGCCAACTTTGGTTTCAATCTGGCAAACTTCATGAATTATGGCGTAATTTCACTTTTTACTAAATACAAGATGGCTGCCAAAGGAAGCCATTTTTTAAAAATCTACTTCAGTAACTTTGTAGAGCTATCAACAGAAATACTATATGCTTAAATTGATTGTCAAACAAGCAAGCAGTTTTTAAGAAGATAATTTTTTGAGGTTTTTTTGCATTTTTGGGATAAATTCAACATGGCTGCCAAAACCACTTGAATCATGGGAAATATTTTTATAAACCCATAATCATCTTATTGAAGGGATGTTGTATGCCAACTTTGGTGTCAATCTGGCAAATTGTTCATGAGTTATAGCTGAGTTATAGCTTACTTTCACTTTTTACTAAATCCAAGATGGCTACCAAAAGAAGCCATTTTTCAAAAATCTGCTTCAGTAACTTTGTAGAGCTATGGCCATAGCAAATTTCTAATCACATGAATGAGCCATTTTTAAGAAAAAGATTTTTAAAGTTTTTTGTCAATTTTCAGAAAATCCAATATGGCGGCCAAGATCACATGATTGCTAAAGATGTTATTGCTGATACTTTCTAGACATGAGCCAATGATGCCGCACAAAAAAAAAGGAAGTTCCTAGACCATCAGAAAGTGGAGGAATTGAGCACTTCCGGTTTGTGTTCTACCTAAGATGGTGGCCCGGTCATGTGACCTACATAGCTGGTTTTGGGGTATGAACCACAACTCATGGCCCTTTATCAGCATGTAAAATAGCAAATCAATCGCAGCATTATTTTTCAAGTTACAGTGGTTACAAAAAACAGTGGAAAAATAATAATAATAAGCAAAGCATAGGGCTCGAAACCCTAATTATGCAATTGCTAATATTTGAAAATTGTTGGTAGCAGTATTCTGATTGGTTAATGGCCTTCTTGACCTATCAGGTTATCAGGAAACAATAGAAGGTCAACTTGTGAGCAAGAAAACATTGTGGATATGGAATTGAACGGTAAGTGATCTAAAATATTCATTTATACAAACACAAACCTTTACATGTATTTCATAGCAAAGAAATAAACTATATTATTTATATTAATATATTAACATTAATATAAATTGAACCATACTATTTCCCTTTACTGAAACTAAGCTTCGCAAACTTGACTTAAATTTGATTAAATAATAATATACATGTAAATTATGAAAATTGTGAGGGTAGTCAAAATGTAGGTCCTGTAGTTACAAGTCAGTGTAAAGTTAAATTGAAGTCGTCACAACGTTGTTACTACACACACACACACACAC